CCCAGTCTGGGTTTATTCCCTCCGTGGCCTGCAAGAGCTGCACCTCACCGGGAGGTTGAGCAACGAGGGCGGGATGGGGCGCGGATGGGCCCTTGGCAGCCTTCGACAACTGCGTCACCTCCGCATCTTGGTGCTGCGTGGCATGCTCCAGAAAGTCCCAGGGGAGCTGAGCGAATTAGAGGGGAGTCTGCTAAAACTGGAGATATATAATGAGGGTACCAGGTTATTGGTACTTACGGGACTGAGGCGTTTGACCGGACTGGCAGAAGTGCAACTGCATGGATGCCAGTTGGAGAGGTTGCCATCAGCACTGCTGGCGCTTACAGGTCTACGCAGTTTGGACCTGCAACACAACAGTCTGCATACTCTAGAAGAGCTGTTGGGATTGCAGCATCTGCGGTGTCTGTCCTGCCTACGACTCGCACATAACCGCGTTCTGGCTCTTCCAGCCAGTGTAGGAGTGCTGCGCTCACTGGAGCTCTTGGATTTGGTGCACAACCAGTTGCAAAACCTACCTTCGGCACTCTTTATGCTTCATAAACTGCAACGCCTGCTTTTGGCTGGAAACCTTTTGGAAGAGTTGCCAGCAGAAATCGGAGCCTTGGCGCTTCTAAGTGAACTAGACCTGAGCGCCAACAGGCTTGAACGTCTCCCCAAGGAACTGTTTGAAAGTTGCACAGAACTTCGCAGCTTGAATGTCGCGAATAACTCTCTAGGGTCTTTGCCTGCTGGTTTTGGTGGCCTGACTCAGCTTTCGCGTCTGGATGTACGAGGAAACAGTCTAGAGGAGCTGCCGGTCGAGCTGGGGTGTTGTTTTGGGCTTCATGGAGGCGGTATGCTGGTTGAAAACTGGCTGTTGCACACCCTACCTCGGCAGGTCAGGGATGTCCCACAGCATCCCAGCTCTTGTCCGTCTTCTGAGCCTCCATCACGACCTAATTCTGACTGCTTTCCTACCTTTTCAGCTGCACAGTGGAGCTTCGAGTCTGCACTGGAATCTCGGATTTAAAACATCAGCTTCAAAATGAACTCATAAACAATATTTAACTAATATTAAAATGAGTCCGGAAAAGCCAGTCTTTTGCCAAGAACACTTTAAATGTAACTCATATGGATAGACTGAAAAATTAAAAACATGTTTCTATACTTATCCTGTTAACTGTCACTAGCCCAATTAACCCATTGTTAACCTTTATAATCTTCTTACTTGTTTATGCTTACTTGTTACTTTGTATGCCAAAAGTTCAAAAAAATATTAGATTTTTCTATATTTCTATTCTATCTTCTTGTTTTTCTTTTTATTTATTATATTAAAAAAAACTTGCTACGTGTACTGCGTTAGACTACTTTGTCACAGCACTTTGATTGCTTATTGTACTCATTTGTAAGTCGCTTTGGATAAATTGTCTGCTAAATGACTAAAATGTAAATGTAAGTCAGTTATATTCAATCATAAATTATAATCAAATGTAAATGAATGTTTCAGTCACTTACTTAAAGGGGTGGTTCAGTGTTTTTTTTCTAGGCTTGATTGTGTTTATGGGGTGCAGTCTAACATGTGTTAAAGGGATAGTTCACCCAAGAATGAAAATGTGATGTTTATCTGCTTACCCCCAGGGCATCCAAGATGTAGGTGACTTTGTTTCTTCAGTAGAACACATATGATGATTTTTAACTTTAACCGTTGCAGTCTATCAGTCGTATAATGCATGGCAATGGTAACAAAATCTATGAGAGTAAAAAAAACATGCACAGACAAATCCAAATTAAACCCTGCGGCTCGTGACGATACATTGATGTGTAAAGACACGAAACGATCGGTCTGTGCAAGAAACTGAACAGTATTTATATAATTTTTTACCTCTAATACAACACTATGTCCAACTGCCTTCAGCGCGCGCACGGCATCTGGTGCGTGAGGTGTGTACGCGCTCTGGCGTAGTTTACGCAAGCGCCGGAAGTGATCTCTCGC